CTGAGTTTACTAGGGGAGCAGTTAGTGATGGGTTTCTTGTGGCTTAGACTGAATTCTTCACTTTCCTAAAGAATCATGGGAAATAAACCAAAAGTCAGTATGAACGAATACTTGTGACAGATTGGGCTTGTGCAAAGACATTCTACTTCAGTTGTCAAGTGTTTGATTTCTCATTGGTGAATAATAACGCGTACAAACTCTCTCTGTCGACCACAGACCTAAGATCAAAAAGACTTGACACATGGCTTATACTGTAACTTTGATATAAAAGTCTTGTTACCAGAGCAGTGAGGAATGCTTTTCATGTGCTTATCTGATTAATACGGTTTTCTATTAGGAGTTTCGGTTTTGTTTTATTTGTACTACTACTTACTCGATCTGTTTTTAGTTTGTTTTGTTTACTCTTTTGATACTTGCCTAAACTGCATGTGGCTTTATTTAATCAGGGTGACTGGAGTTGGCTGATTGGGTTGCCTAGAAACTGTCTTAGAATTTTCATACGGAACACTCAGCATTATTGTTATTTGTTATGGAGGGTGGGCGGAGGGATCTGGATCTCATGTTAGTGGAATTAAAACGGATAAAACACAAACCACATGATCTCTTGGTCTTTTTGCCTTGCGTTCGGTCTCTGGTGTTTTTCAAACCTGGCCGTTCCAGAAAGATCCTGGACTTCAAATATTCATTTAGATGAGTGCTTGCGGGGGAATTATTAAAGAAACGGTTCCCAAAGCATGAGAGTCGCCCTTATGTTGTTCCAAACCTTTCTTGGAACATAAAAGGAGATGTTAAGTAGGGGGGAAAAAAAACTTTATAGTTATCAAACTCTGAAACTGAGAATGTGACGTCTGTGATTTCAAACAAAACTGGCTCTGTGGCCATAACTGATGTGAAACTGACTTTGACATGCCGTTTTTAATGTACATTAGAAGACGTGTCTAAACAAATTCGGACCACTGTTGATCACACAAACTACCATGTGACTACAGGAGACTGGGAAGAAAGTGCACAAGTTCGCCGTTTTCCTGTCCCCATTCATTTTTGTTGTATTAAAAATAAAATTTAATTAAATTTTAAAAATTATCCTCTAACAGTAACGTTCTCGATTCTTTTTCTGTTCTTTCGACTTTTCTTTTTTTGAAAAAAAATAAATCAAAATATTGAGACCCTTTAAGATTCAGTTAAGATTGTCAATGTGGGACAGTGCTTTAATGCTGCTTCGGGTTCGAGCGTGTTGGTGGTCAAGCGGTTGTCTTCTCAGAGCTGTTTTACGTGCAGAGCAGGAACTGGGTCTTATCATCTCCGTGGGACTGCAGTCATCAAGTCCTGCACCAGATTCACTGGACTGAGGAGACGAGAGCCGGACAGGTGACTGAGGCAGATGCTGAGGAACTCAGATGGTCTGATGATCTTGTTGTTCATGTCATGATGTCTCTACAGTATTGAGCACACGGAGATAAGCTTAAATGCCATCCTGCTTACGGAAAACTTGGACCACGGTTGTTATTGTTAACTAAAACGACAACCAAAAAAAAAAAAACTTTAATGTTAACTCGGCATTATAATCAACATAAAAAAAACTATAGTTGCCAGGGCTTTAAGTTGAAGACAAAAATAAATCTACATAAACTAATGACTTGATAAAAACCATATAGACGTTTTAAAAATAAAAATAAAAAACTTTCATTAAAATTAATACGAAAACTATAAAAGTACATCAATGACACTAAAATAACAGACCTGGACAGTTTTAAAATTGTGAACTGCGAGTCCCTGACAACTTATGTAAATTAATAAAATCTTCAAATGTCATGAAAATTACTAGTAAATTTCAATGGCTAGAAATTGCTCATTAAACCTGGAATAATTTATTAAAAAAAAGATCCAGTGGCTGTATATAGTAATTTAATTGTATAAAAATACACGTATAGAATAGAATAGAGAGAGAGAGTGTGTGTGTGTATATATATATATATATATATACAGTGCCCTCCACTAATATTGGCACCCTTGGTAAATATGAGCAAAGGCAGCTGTGAAAATAAATCTGCATTGTTTATCCTTTTGATCTTTCATTCACCCAATTATTGCAACATCCTTTTCCCAAGATAACAGCTCTGAGTTTTCTCCTATAATGCCTGATGAGGTTAGAGAGCACCTGACAAGAGATCAGAGACAATTCCTTCATCCAGAATCTCTCCAGACCCTTCAGATTCCCAGCTCCATGATGGTGCTTCTCCTCTTCAGTTCACCACACTCACTTTCTATAGGGTTCAGGTCAGGGAACTGGAATGGCCATAGCAGAAGCTTCATCCCTGCAATTCTCCAGCTGTGGTCCTCAGAGAGTCTTTAGCCACTCAAACTCTCCTCCTCACCGTGCATTAGGACGATATAGACACATGTCCTCTTCCAGGCAGATTTGTAACATCTTTAGTTGATTGGAAATTCTTAATTATTGCCCTGATGGTGGAAATGGGGATTTTCACTGCTCTAGCTCTTTTCTTACAGTCACCTTCTATTTTGTGAAGCTCAACAATCTTGTTCTACACATCAGAGCTATATTCTTTGGTTTTACTCCTTGTGATGGATGATTAAGGGAATTTGGCCTTTGTTTTCCCTCCTATTTATATTCCTGTGAAACAGGAAGTCATGGCTGGACAATCTCATGCTCCTAGTCACTCTGGTGTACATTAACAATGTAAACATAAATGGGAAAATTCTTCACAGATATTTTACTCGTAATAATTTCTAGGGGTGCCAATAATTGTGGCCAACATGCATTGGAGAAACATTTATTTCATCATGAGATTTTCTCCCATCTTTCAACTGTTTTACTTCAAAGAAAGTTTAGAATTTTTGTGCAATTTTTGAATGAAAGATCAAAAGGATAAACAATGCAGATTTATTTTCACAGCTGCCTTTGCTCATATTTACCAAGGGTGCCAATATTAATGGAGGGCACTGTGTATTATATTAGTTATTAGATTGATTAGGTATTATTACACAATCATATATATATATACCCCTGGAAATATGTTTGAATTTCAATATTGTGATTTCCAGGCCTGTGTAAAAAGGACTCCTTGTTTTGTCCACCTGATCCTGTATTTTTAAGTGAACTGGAGCACCTCTGGAAGGCTCTCCGTTGGGGTGTGTCAGTGAAGAGCCTCGGGCTACGGCTGTGGGATGGGCCCTGTTGCCATGGAGACGGGCAGACGGCGCTGAACAACAGTACTTCTGTGGAGAGAGGATGAGTAATCAGCAGGAGAGAGAACTTCTCCGAGTAACGACAAAGATAATACATGTGTGTTATTACACACTGCAGCACTGCAGACGGCAACTCTGATATGAGCAGCATCAGTAAAAGCACGCACTTACAAGGCCAAAAGCAGATCAGACTACATGTAAACAGTTACTACTACTACAGTGTATCTCCAACAATATCATACAGTGTTCATTCACTTAATATTCAGAAAAATCCTCAATTTGACTGCGTTGACACTATGAGAACATGAGAATAAGAACTTGAACTGAATTGAGATGATAACAGCATTACTGTGTTTTGCCTTCTAGCCCTACTGAATCAAATGTGTTCATAATTGATGAATTTTACACACTGACACTGTTATTGACCTCAACTGAATCAATATTGAGCTGCCTGACTCCAGCTGAATAATGACTGTCTTCAGTAGAGCTGCTTATCGCTGAATTGAACTCGTTTTATAATGAATGAACTCTACAGAGTTCTTGAGCCGAACTGAATCAACACTGAACTGACTGGAACTGAATAATGCCACTATTGTCTTGCTTCAGCTGCTTTATAGCAGAGTGCCTCACTCTGCTACTTTTCCTGAAGCTGTTGTTGTGTAGTTCTAGTAGTATGTTTTAGTTTTTATTTCTATTCATCATAGAAAGGTTAGTTTTTAGTTCTATTTACCTTAGAAATTACTTACCTCTCTTTACCTTAGTTTTTAAATCTAATCTTTATATTTTATTTTATTTATATAACTAAAAATATTTGTAATCATTTTTGTTAACAATAACAACACTGCAATAAACAGCAGAAGGTGACAACACACCCCGGCATAATATCATATTTTGAGTTTGCTTTCATTTTTTATATTTTCCATTTTGACTGTAATTTGATGTGCTTTTTTGACATTCTCACTAGTTCTATTTAGCTTTATTTTGTTTTTATTTCAGCTCAAATTGAAGTATTTGTTTTATTTTATTTGAATTATTATTTTTTCCCAATTATAATAGTTTTAAATAACAATAAAAAGGAGAATCCAGATATTGTATGACAACATGCCCCACTATCAGTGTGCTTTTTTTTCTGGAAAATAATCAGAGAAAAATGAAACCGCTATTTAATTGCCATGACTTCGACAACTTCTAGTTTCCCCCCAATTCTGAAAATATGTCTTTGCTAGTGTTGTAGGAACAAAACTACCAATAGCCTAACTGCATTTGTGGTCATAAATGAATAAATAATTAGAAGGTAATAAAATGATGCTTCCTACATCCAGTTCAACCTAAAAGCCCAGAATGTCTGCACTGGAAATCTGAATCTAGTCAGTCGTTCTTGCAGGTCTGTGACTCCACCTGTTGGTGATCTTCAGTACACACGTCTGTGCGGTTAATCAACTATGAACTATGAATTTAATTGAGGATGAGGAGTAGGTAGGTCTCTTGAAGCAACCATTTTTTTAGCTGGTGAAAATACTAGTGCTCTAATCATTTTGGCCACCACTGTATAAATATTAAATATTTATTTAAGCGAATTACCTATTCTTAATTAAATGAATAAACGTTAAAAAAATTAAGTTCAGTCATTTATTTTCGCTTTTATACATTCGTTACAAAAATCAACCCTTCATCGTTCTAAAAGCTTATTGGCCAGATCTGCGGGCCCTAACACGTCTCATCCAATCACCATCAAAACCGCTGAGCTACTGCTGCGTCACATTGCGTCGGGGGATGACGCAGCGGCTCGCCCCGCCCCTTCTCTCCCGATCCCCGGCTGTTAGTGCTGAGAGAGTGCGCGTGTGCTCCGGAGCTCGCCTCGGCACACATTATATATAAAAAAAAAAAAATACAAAAAAATTAAAAACTTCTAAAAACTCCAAAAAATCATTTTATTTCTTTTTAAATTAAAAATCGGTGAAGGGGAAACTGGAGGCCTTGAAACATCTCTCGACAACCCCGAAAAATAACGACAGTCTGTGAGCTCGCGAAGGCCTGCTTGATTCGTTGGTTTGGATTTTTCGCGTTTTTAAATTTCTGTTGCCCTAAATATCCGTCATTTTTAAACGGAACGCTTTAATCGTCCAGCCGAAGCCATCTGTTAGTCGACGGTTTTCAGTTTTAAAAATTGGCGTTGACATCTAACGGTAGCTATATTCTGACGTAGTTGAGCTAGCGCCGCGAAACACGTACAATTCTGCGAGTTCACAGCTGCGAGGGAAGAGAACATGAACCCCAGCGCTCCTAGCTACCCCATGGCCTCGCTGTATGTTGGAGACCTGCACCAGGACGTGACTGAAGCCATGCTCTACGAGAAGTTCAGCCCGGCCGGTGCCATCCTCTCCATCCGGGTGTGCAGGGACATGATCACGCGCCGGTCGCTGGGCTATGCCTATGTCAACTTCCAGCAGCCTGCAGACGGTAAATGATGGCGTTGACGCTAAAGACGCATTGAAAATTAAATGTATGTGTCAGTTGCCTGCTTATGCATCTCATCCACATGCAGCACAAGCGTCTGTGTTTGGTTATTATGAATTATAAAGCGTTGAGGAGGATGGCAGCTGCATGCTGTTGCATGACATGCATGTCATGTTTAGGGCGTGGGTGGGCGGGGAGTGTGCAGCACAGATAACCCCTGTCAGGCTTGTCAGGAAAATGCCTTGATCGCATTGATTATGGCTGTTTGTTCTCCCTGTTTTATTGTTAAGCTATATCATGCTGTTTTCAATAGGTTTAAACATGGTCTTGGAGGTGTCACGTGCAGCCCCGCTGATTTAGGTCAGACATGTTCAGTGTGCAATCCGAGATTTCTTGTCCTTTTTTTTTGGATTCAGGTTGCATATATCATATGCTATGTGGATTTTGGTGGTTGCACAAAAAGGGTTCAGAAATTAATTTGAGATTGGGCAAAAATGCAATCAAAAAGGGACTAAGCAATGCCTATGTAATGAATGCATCACTTTTATCCTTGGAGTAGTTAATCTGGTTATTCAGATGGACGATTTTATGATTTACAATATGCACTTCATTTTCAGTTAATGTCGGGATCATCTATTGCAAATTTAAGGCAAAACACTACAGGTGACAATATTAATTAATTGATTTGAGCGTATGCTTCCCTAGTTGATTAATAACAGTACATGAAGACAAATGTTTTGAATTAAGTTTTCTGAAATTTTGTAAAATATTTCAACTGAGGTGTTGTTTAATTAAATATGAACTTCTTTGTATCTGTATCAGAACAGAAGTTTCAGAACATTTCATTCAGATTTTGTTAAATGTTGTTGACATTAGAGTTGAACGTATTACAGAGGGGTTTTTGGAACTTTTTATGACTCCAGAAAATACCATATTTTTATGAAATTAAATATTATATAAATTTAAAAAGTCCATATAAATCTCAAATAGAAATGAAACCGTAAAGACAACTAATGACGAGAGAACTTCGATTAGACAATTTGAAAGAAATTGATTTTTAAAAAGGTTTCTCCTGGAATAATTTTAGAGTTTTATTATACAGTGTCATACATTCTACAACCCCAATTCCAGAAAAGTTGGGACGTTTTGTAAAATGCAATAAAATCAAGAATCTGTGATTCGTTAATTCTCTTGAACTTTTACTTAATTGACAAAAGTACAAAGAAAAGATTTCCAAAGTTTTCACTGACCAACGTAAATGTATTTTGTAAATATGAACAAATTTTGAGTTTGACGGCTGCAACACACTCCAAAAAAGTTGTGACAGAGGCAAAATAAAAGTGAAAAAGTTATAGAATATCCACGTTAAACTGTTTTGAAACGGCTCACAGTAAGCAGGTGAATTGGTAATAGGTCAAGGTATCATATTTGGGTATAAAAGGAGCATCTTGGTCTTTGCAAGCAAAGCTGGATCATGGCTTTTTATGTCTTTAACCGACTACCATATATAATAATGTGAAAAGATTCAGGGAATCCAGAGAAATCCCAGTACATGTAGAGCAAGGCCTCAGTTGAATGTGCTTGACCTTTGAGCCCTCAAATGGCATAGCATGAGAAGCCATCATGCTGCTGTGTTAAATATAGCCACATGGGCTCAGGAGTACTTCAGAAAGTCACTCTCACTTAACACAGTCTGCCGCTGCATCAAGAAATGCAACTTGAATCTCTTTTACTGAAGGAGAAAGCTATCAATTTTATGCAGTGATAACACCAGATTCTCTGGGCCAGAGCTCATCTCAGATAGTCTAAAAGACAGTGGAAATGTGTGCTGTGCTCAAATGAGTCCACATTTCAATGTGTTTCTGAGAAAAATGATGTCGAGTTCTCAGTCCCAAAGACCAAAGGGACCATCCAGACTTTCATCAGCGACAGTCATGGTATTTGTGTGCAGCAGAGCAAACAGCATCGGTGACTGGCATATGTGTTAAGGTGTCATTGACATGGAGGCATATATTGGAATTGTACAGACATATATACTGCCATCAAGATGATGTCTTTCATGGGAAGTCTATGGTTATTAGATCAAGACAATGCCAGGTCTCATTCTGCATGTGCTACAACAGTGTGGTTTTGTAGACGCATGTGCATGTGTTAGACTGGCCTACCTGCAGTCCAGATCTGTCTCCTATTGAAAATGTTTGACCAGTCATGAAAAGGAGAATCAGACAAAGATGACCACAGACTGCTGAGCTTCTGAAGTCTTGTATCAAGCGAGATTGGACAAAAATTTTGCTCGCATTAGTATTCTCAATTCCCAAACAATAAAACATTGTAATTAAAAGGAAAGTTGATGTGACACAGTGTTAAACATGCCTCTGTCCCAACTTTTTTTGGAGTGTCAAAATTTGTCTACGCTTACAAAATAAAATTAAGTTGGTCAGTAAAAACATTGGAATTTTTTCTTTGTACTTTAGTCAATTAAATAAAAGTTAAAGAGAAAGAACAGATAACATATTCTTGATTTTATGGCATTTCACAAAACGTCCCAACTTTTCTGGAATCGGGGTTGTATGTATTTGTTATTGTTCCTATTGTTATTATTGTTATTTTAAGAATATATGTTGAATGTTTTTAAGATAAAATTGTACATTTATTGTAAACAATGTATTGAAATATTGTAATCATAATACTGTTGACTTTTCCATGAATATAGCCATTGCCGCTGATATGGCGTTAAATCGTAAATAAATAAATAAATAGACACAAATAGGTAGTGTAATAAAACAAACATTTAACACATTGGGGAAGTCGTGGCCTAATGGTTAGAGAGTCGGACTCGTAACCCAAAGGTTGTGGGTTCGAGTCTCGTACCGGCAGGGATTGTAGGTGGGGGGAGTGAATGTACAGCGCTCTCTCCCACCTTCAATACCACGACTGAGGTGCCCTTGAGCAAGGCACCGAACCCCCAACCGCTCCCCGGGCGCCGCAGCGCCCAGGGTGTGTGTTCACGGTGTGTGTGCACTTTGGATGGGATAAATGCAGAGCACTAATTCCGAGTATGGGTCACCATACTTGGCCACGTCACGTCACTTTCACTTTATTTAAATATGTAGTTTGGAGGTTTTCTTTCTACTAGTCCAAAAGACGTGGATGCAAAATATCCAGAAATATTCAAATTGTTGAGTGTGTGAAATAAAAAAACAACGGTTTTGCCAGTAGTGCCTTTCCTTAAGTGCTAATCATTTTTGTGGACTCATAATTGTTTTTGCTTCCAGCTGAACGGGCTCTAGACACAATGAACTTTGACGTGATCAAGGGTAGACCTGTCCGCATCATGTGGTCTCAGCGCGACCCCTCTCTGAGGAAGAGCGGCGTTGGAAACATCTTCATCAAGAACCTGGATAAGTCTATTGATAATAAAGCCCTTTATGACACCTTCTCTGCATTTGGCAACATCCTGTCCTGCAAGGTAAGGCACATACACGCTTTTGAGTGTGCTTTGCAGTGGTTTGATGATTGAGTGTTGGATTTTTTTGTGCATGAGTGCTTCTTTTGCTCAGTGGGTGCATGATTTTATGCCTGTTATCCTTTCTTAAGGTGGTTTGTGACGAGAATGGCTCAAAGGGCTACGGCTTTGTGCACTTTGAGACCCAGGAGGCCGCTGAAAGAGCCATTGAGAAAATGAACGGCATGTTGCTGAATGACAGAAAAGTGTAAGTGAGATTTTTTAGCATTGCCCCAAACCTGAGCATTAGGTTGAAGGAAAATTGCTAAAGAACTTGCCAGCTAACATGAGGAGTGGCTTCGACTAACAGACTTGATTTGGAATTGAAGTGCGTGGAAGGGTTGGACTAAGTGACATTAAAGAGTTTTTAAATTAAATTAAAATTTAAAGGAATGGTTCAACCGGAAATAAAAATGTACTGAAAAATTACACAGATGGTGTGTATTTTTAAAAAAAAATTTCTAGCAAATTTTCATTTTTGGGTGAACTATTCCTTAAAGCGACATTCTGAAAAACATTTTGGTGTCCATTTTTATATTGCCTAATATACGTTTGTTTAAAGATTGCATGCAAGTACTATTGCATTATGACAGACATTGTAGAGTCTACAATCCCAGGTATGAAATTGTGCTCCAGGAGGGTCACTGTCAATAATTAAATAATTTCAATATTTTGTCATCACAAAATAAAATGTTCACAGAAGTGCATTTGAGATACACTACCATTAGAGGTCGACCGATATGGGTTTTTCACTGGCCGATGCCGATATTTAGAAATCAGGGCAGCCGATATATGATGCCGATTTTTTTGGGCCGATTTTCTTTTCTTTTTTTTTCCCTTCATCTCATAAAAGTGATTTTGAGCAAATGGTTATTGCAGGGTACAAGATAGTAATAGTAGTAGTAGCCCAATTTAGAGTAATAATACATGGCTCAAAACTTAAGCACCTTCTCAAAACAGTTCTGAAGGATGCTTTTTGTTTGTTTGCTGACAGACACCAGTGTTTCCCACAGACTTGCAAATGCAAATTCATTCTCTGCCAGCAGGAGGCGCTTTGGGAGCGGGAGATATAGCGGTTTCCCCGGTAACGGCTGTAATCAAATCAGCGCTGCCCTCACAAACGCTACTTTATCAGGCATTACAGTAAAGACGAAATGAAAATGACATCGAAGCTTTTCTGAAGACAGTCGGTTCTTTTCAAATATACATTCATATAAAAACACCCGCGCTGCATTTTAATTTTGAAACGTGAAGCTCTCAGTTTATTCAATAAACTGAATAAAATGAGTTTATTACAAAATAGATTTTCCAGCCTTTTGGAAAATCTATTTGTGGCGGTCAGTTTTGATATTGTGACGAGCCGCCACAAATAACTCAATGTATAGGAAACACTGGACACTGCTATAAGTCAAATGGTCAAGTGATAACAAAAATAAAAGATTTCACACATATTACACAGCCTGCTTAAAACTGCAAACTGCTTAAGAGTGCGCTGGCCACGAGCGAATATATAACATCGTGGAGGCTATTGTCGGGCCCACAGACACATTTCATGAGGAAAGTTAACGTGCACGTTATAATCAGCCCAGAAGTTTCTGAATTGAACTTGTTTCTACTTTCACATGCAAATGACTTGTTGCACTTATGAATATGATTACTTTGCGGCATCAATTCTAGTAGGGTAAAACATAATTCCGCTTTCGAAACGGTCTGTTTTGCCCTGCCATTAACTGAAGCTGTGTGTGAACAAGCCGCGGCTGCCGAGTGTGTGAGCTGCTCCGCCTCACGCAGCCTCAGGCCCTGTCCCAAATGGAAGACTTCATGTGCTCTTGCGGTCTTACGGACTTACAATGGCCGCCGCGTGTGCGTGTCCATTAAGTCCACGAGACCGTAGGGTGTCCCATTCGTCATTTTAGCGTTCAAAAGGGTGCTCGCGAGCGCCCCCTTTGCAGCCGCTATGCGCCCTCAATGCGCACTTCTGCCGAGCCCGGACCGGGGCGAGCTCCACAGCAGACTTCTACCCGACAGTCAAAGCGGCATTACGTCACGAAAGTGAGGACTCAGAGGAAGACCGCGAAGGTTTAGGGTGCCATTTGGGACAGGGCCTCAGAGGGAGTTCCGCAACAACGCTTAGCTGCCCCCTGATGCACTTGCCTATAAATCGGCCTAATTTGCAGCACAATCGGCCGATGCCGATTAATTAAAAAATGCCAAAAATCAGCCGATCAATCGGTCGACCTCTAACTACCATTGAAAAGTTTGAAGTCTGTAAGATAATTAAATGTAGTGCACTCACCAATGCTGCATACATTTATTAAAAAATGCAGTAAAAACAGTAATATTGTGAAATATTATTGCATTTTTTAATGTTTTCTATTTGAATATATTTTAAAATGTGATTCATTCCTGTGATGCAAAGCTGAATTTTCAGCAGCATTACTCCAGTCTTCAGTGTCACATTATCCTTCAGAAATCATTTTAATATGCTAATGAAGAAAAAACATTATCAGTGTTGAAAATGTTTGTACTGCTTCATGCTTTTATGGAAACCATGAATCATGCTAAAAAATTGACGAATTCATCAAAAAAAAAAATCAGGATTTGATGAATAGACTGTTTTTCAAAAGAAGAACATTTATTTGAAATATAAATCTTTTGTAACATTATAGTCTTTACTGTCATATTCAAACAATTTAATGTCCATGCTGAATAAAGTATTTCTTTCAAAAATCTTACCTAGACTTTTCAATGGTAGTGTATATACTAAACAAACCTGGTTTATACAAGTTAAATAATTCTTCCTTGTTAATTGAGTAATAAACTGTGGAAAGCTTTCCTTGTTCATTTCAATTAAAGAGAATTGTTTGACTTGGTTTGGCTTTGGTTGTATTAATGACTAATTACAAAGATAAATGGTATATTGTTGAAAAATCCTAAGCTATGTCAACCAACCTATTGAAATAACTGCTTTGAGATCCATTAGATCCTCCTATTAAATGGTCCTAATTTCTATCAGGTTTGTAGGGCGCTTCAAATCTCGCAAGGAGAGGGAGGCTGAGCTCGGCGCAAGAGCCAAAGAATTTACCAATGTGTACATCAAAAACTTTGGGGAAGACATGGATGATGACAAACTCAAGGACGTCTTCAGCAAATATGGTAAGTTCTTTGTAGTACTGCAGTTTTTACACTGTTATTCTCTTTTGACTTACCCATTACCAAAACTTATTCCTCATTTGATAAGGTACTGCCATGAGCATCCGTGTCATGACTGATGAAAATGGAAAGTCCAGAGGCTTTGGATTTGTGAGTTTTGAGAGGCACGAAGACGCCCAAAGGGTCAGTTCAACTTAATGTTGTCAAACTAATGTAATTGACTTCCTGACGTAAACTTAAACATAGGATACACATGTACAATATGTACATGTACAATATGTACAATAGTTCTGCTCTCTTCTGACAGGCTGTGGATGAGATGAACGGCAAAGAACTGAACGGGAAGTTCATCTATGTAGGTCGTGCTCAGAAGAAAGTGGAGCGGCAAACTGAGCTCAAGCGCAAATTTGAACAGATGAAGCAGGACCGCATGACTCGTTACCAGGTCAGTGAGGGTGAACTCTGACCTCTGCAGCCTTGTCAAATTCGGTGTTTCCTCCTCAGTGGACCACACTGGCCAAAATGGCTGCAACAGTGAATTTGTAGCCCATGGGCCTCACGTTCCTGTATAGTGGATATTGGGGATAGAAGGGCTATGTACAACTGTTTCTTATTCAAGGACATGAGTTAGACTGTGTAACTGCATTTGGATCTTTAATTTTATTTATTAAATCCAGGGGAAGTGTGTTGTAAGTGCCCTCACAGATGCAGATCTTCACAGCCGTTTGCTGTCTTTACAGGGTGTCAATCTTTACGTGAAGAACTTGGATGATGGTATTGATGACGAGCGTCTTCGTAAAGAGTTCTCTCCCTTCGGTACAATCACCAGTGCCAAGGTACGATTGTGAATCCGTCTGACCAAGTTATTTATACACATTCTAGACATTTCCTATAAGAACTAAATGTACACATTAATGGTCTTATTAAAATTCATTGGATTTAAAAATTGATTGTTTTACTTTAATGCACTTTCTTGGCCTAATTGGGTACAATTTATCCGTGCATGTTACTGCAGCGCAGAAATGTTTTTAGTTACTGTACTAAAGCCTAAAAATACCTTTGCATGTTTCTTAAATATCTGCAGACATATTAAGGTCACATACCTGTTTTGGTCTGTGTGACTCCGCCCACTGCCAATGTATCCAATAGGATTTTGACAGCCATGGTTGCCAGTTCGTTCGCGATAATGACAGCTGTTTGCATAGCTTCTCAGTGAACTATGGCTCTGTGTAGTAAATGCTGCTCCTTCTGAAAGCATGCAAAAATACCACATTTAATAACATGTTTTTACTCCAAACTCGCTTCATAACGTCAGCCAAGTGTTTGAAATAAATCCTTCTGTGAGATGATGTGGCTTCTTACACAGAATAAGGCACGCAACATATTTCATAGTATTTAAGCAGTGATTTACTACTGATCACAGAACCGTGCTTCACTGAAAGATACGCATGACAATCATTCATTCGATTTCATTTCGATTTATTGTGCAGCCCTAGTATATCAGCGATGAAAGCCAGCAAACAAACTGGGTCAGAGATCACAGATTCTACCCAACTTAAGAAGTCTCGGCATCCATCTAAAAAGCTCTAAGACCAGAAGCTTATTAAAACATGGATAAATCATTTCATCAATTTGTCACCTTACATTGTCAATGTAAATGCCCAGTTTCCACCATCCAGAGGAATAAAATGAATTTGTTTCCCTTGATGTAATATCTTTGCAAATGCCATTTCATGTTGATTTTGTTGCATGTTGCCTTTTAGACAAAAATTGAAGTCTTCCCCCGTGTCACAGGTCATGATGGACGGTGGTCGCAGTAAAGGCTTCGGATTTGTCTGTTTCTCTTCCCCTGAGGAAGCCACTAAAGCGGTGACTGAGATGAATGGCCGTATTATGGCCACTAAGCCATTGTATGTGGCTCTTGCTCAGCGCAAAGAGGAACGGCAGGCCCATCTCACCAACCAGTACATGCAGAGGATGGCCAGTGTCCGTGCAGTGCCAAACCCCGTTATCAACCCCTATCAGCCTGCACCTCCATCAGGATACTTCATGGCTGCCATTCCACAGGTGGGTTGGTTCTCATATTGCTTAGATTAACATGACTGCTGATTTTTTCCCCCCTAATGATTTCCTTGCATCACAGGCCCAGAACAGAGCTGCGTATTACCCTACCAGTCAGCTCACCCAGCTCAGACCCAGTCCCCGCTGGGCCACACAGGGTGTCCGGCCTCAGCGTAAGTCAACTTTGTATCCCAGAAACCTGCTTTATTAAATGAATCCAATAGTACTGATTCATACTAATAAAGACATTGAACCTTTCCTACAGACTTCCAGAACATGCCAGGCACAATGCGCTCATCTGCCCCCAGACCTCAGAGCTTCAGCACCATGCGTCCTGCGTCTCAGGTGCCCCGCATGATGTCCACTCAGCGTGTTGGTGAGTAGTTTCAGCCTTTACATGCTCCACAGCACCATGAGGTTTTGGTGACATAGAATATTCAGTAGGGCTGGGAAAATAAATCGATGCATCGAGAAATGATTCAGCATTTATTCTGAGATTTTCCGAATGCATCGGGATTCTTTCTCACGTCGATTAGTTTTGAACAGCAGATGTCACTGCATGCTTTAGAAACAGCCG